GTTGCAGACGAGGCATTCGCTTTCCCATTTTTCGTTCTTTTCTGTGATTTCTCTCACCTTGCGCTCGTCCACCACCTCGCCTGGTCGCAGCTTCCTATTCTCCTATGAACCAAACCGTCCTTTACTAAATCCGCACCTCTTCCAAGCACGCGTTGTGTATGATTGAGTTTTTATTGTTCGTTATTCTTGTCGTGTTGTTCGTGAACGAACACGCACGTGTTTCGTGTAAGTAATAAGGTCGCGTCGAGTCGTGCGACCTTTTATTTTTTTTTTAGGAGTCTCCTTTCGGGTTGCGTCGAACTCATCGACGCCGTTCAGAGTGACGAAAGTTCATTAAAACAAATTTCTCGTCGACAACAACCGAATTAAACAGAAATACTCTCGCTTAGCCCATGAACAATACGATGTTTGTATACCTCTTTCATCTCTTAAAGACTAAAGATGAACAAAACTTTTTTAATCTAATTATAATGTATAGATAGATAATTTATAGGTAACGAAGGAAAATATATTTCAGATGTAAACAAGTTTTGTTTCGCTTAATTTCTTGGAGCAAATATACAGAAATCGCATTACTTAAGGGAGGATCCAATACTTGCAGTCGTTTGTACTTTGGAATAATTGATTCTGGAAATGACCTTGCAAACAGAACTCAGAAATAGTAGTTAAACTGTTATTCCGAGTCGCTAATTAATTTCTTTTGTTTATTCTAAAGAGAAATATCGGTAATATCGTTGACACTTTGTTGGAATTTCAATGAACCTTCGTCTTCGTGAAAACCAGCGGAACGTGTGTCCGCGATTCAAGCGGGACACGGTTCCTTTCGCTTTCAACATGCTCTCCCGAGTTGCTTCCGCAAGCTCGATCGCTTGCGCGGAACGCGTTCTGTCGATCCTTGACGATCGACGGGCATCTGTCTGTAGCTGGAATGTCTCGCGAGAAAAGAGAGGATTCGGAGGGATAGAGTAGACAAGATAGTGTGTGGCTGTAGTGTGTATCTTTTTCCAGAAGCTGGGCTGATTGGACGTTTTACGAATAGGATGATAATGCTTGGACTATGCTTTCACTCTTTGCCGACAAAATGGCGGACGCGCGCGCCTGACACGTCCCCGTCAGCTGTTTCCTCATCGGGAGACGCGTCGCGGACCGCGCGTCGCCTGGCATCTACCTCTAACAAGACTATCACGAGAGGGGTCACTAATGTATCATTGACATCACTACGGAAATCAAAAAAGAAAGAAAAAAAACTCCAACAGTTCTAGGGCTAACCAGCAGTAGCCGATGGTCTACCTACGCCTTCGTCTAGGTTCTTGTGATGGCTACTGTTCTGTGGGCTACAGGTCTTCGTTAGGGCTACTGACTTATCTTCGAGATACTTGGATAATCTTTTAATCAGATTGGTGTGCACAAGACATTTAAGCACTCTGACGTTAACTTTTACTGGAAAACATAGGAACAGCAATGGCTAAAACCTGCCTTTAGAAAGACAAGACAGTTTCAAATGAAATACGCGATTCAGCTATTGTCCCATTTATTCGGGTATCTAATGATACCTGAATAGCTTTCACTTATCCAAGTGTCTCGGATGACAAGTTGATATGTCAATAGCTCTAAACTTGATTCTCTAGCTCGCAGTTGCTCGGTCTCGATACAAACTCGATGAACCCTCTATTATATTCCTTTTTCAATATATTGTTTACAGTTTTTTGTTCAAGGGATTCACTTAGAATTTTTAAAATATTTATCATCCTTTAATGTAACATTCTTTAGCATAATTGTAATAAAATCTTTCAGTGGAGTTCGATTGCTTCGTTTCGCTGTAGACTCAGATGGTTCTAGCTTCAATAGAAACGTTGGTAGTAACAAAAATAAATTCTACAATGGGCAATCGAGTAGATCCAAGGATCGAGTGTCGAGCAACTCATGAGCTGTTCTCTCGATAGAACGACAGTCGGCTCGCTCCGCCGTTACTCCGCAGCCAATTTCGATACCCGGGCCAAACCAAGATGATACATGGATCCACCCAGGACCCATCGAGAGCCTTGTCCGTCGTCGTTTATGATATACGGCCGATTTCGGGTTTTGGACGCGGTCGGTCGCCTCCCGCGAAATCGAACATATTCTTCGTGAGTAATTACACGAAAATAGGCTCGAACGTGATTATTTTTGGGACAGGCATTGGACATCGCGGAGCTATTAAGAACGTTTTCCTTGGCAATCTGACAAAGGGACCTCGATTAACAAACTTCTTCTGCGATAACGTTTCGCCACGTCTCTGTGACGGCGTTCGGTCCTCTTGGGTAACGTCTCGGAGCAAATTGAACGGCGATGTCGTTCTACGAGGCGCTGCAACGATATCCGTCGGTAATCTGTTGATTCTACGAGGATCTTAACCCTGATACTACAAGTTAGTTTAGTACTCAAGTTTTCTATATCAATTTTATCAAATTGATCTTCTGGCTCAGTTGCATTCTTTTTTAGAATCTGGCTACGTCTCGCCGAAGACAAGCAAAGAGTAGTCAAACAAATGAAATATAATATTTTAAAAAGAATCATGCGTTTAATGTTATATATTTTTATTTTCGACGTGAAATCAAAATGCAATGTAAAGTTTGCGAAACGTGAATTGAACACTTGAACAGTACGCAAAGGTTGAAAAGTGGTAAGAGCTTCGAGCGATATCCTTTGATGGATATTCGGATCGCATCGTTGCATTCTTTCAAGTACTCTTTAATATTAATACCTGTTTCTCGTACTCCGAAGAGTATCACCTTGACGGATATCGTTGCACCGTTGCGACCGGTTCCCAGAAGAGTAGTCGATATACCTTGGGTTCGGGGAAAGACAGCTCGTAACATACCTCGTCACTGATGATCAGGCTGGGTCTGCGACCCAATTCTTCGGGTGGTATCAATGAACCACGTCGACTGCTGGTACCGCTACCAGGTATTAGTGAACCCTTTCTGCTTCCAGCCGGCGTCACGTCCTTGATAACTTCGATCTTCGGTGTCTCGGGGGCTTTGATCTCTGGCACTTTCGGCTGCGGTCACGAGAAAAACCAAAAGGGATCAGTTTCAATCTCGATGTGTGGAACTCGAATATTGAGAAGATCAAGCGACGGATTGGATCGATTTCTCTTGCTCTGGCGGCTGTAGAATCCTCGTACGACACTTAAAACGACCAACTACCAGTCGCACGGGTTTTTCGTTTAATCGAGGGATAGATAATTTAGAAAAAGTAATCTTCGAATGGATAGAATCTTGGTTGCATTATCGTTGAGAAACATTGATCTATAATTCACGGTAATAGAATACTTCGTCAAAAGTTCAATTTTTAACTAATTACCAATTCACACTAAATTTCTCTCGAGATTATCGAAATCCGTGTAAACTATACTCTACAACGACTACTATATTCACAGTCTAGTTCCCACCAAATACAATCACATCAATTAATGACTGGTATCCCAAATTTAAGACGTCACATTCAACAAAGTTAGAAGCATCCATGTTGTCCGTTAATAAGAAATCCAGCAAATTGAATCCTATTTCATCATACGATTCGATCATACGATCCAAAACCCTTTATAGCACCTGCATGAAAAGTACGCGATCCACAGCTTAGTTCACATCGAATAAAATCATAGATTAATTAATTATTAAGACGTCGCGTTCCAAAAATGTAGAAACATCCATTTTGTCCGTTAATAAGAAATCCAGCAAATTGAATCCTATTTCATCATACGATCCGATCATACGATTCAAAACCCTTTGTAGCACCGTGAGAAGTACGCGTAAGGGGTAGCCGCCAAAGGTTCGAGGCAACGATCAGGTTTACCAGGTGCGTCGGCAATAATCTCTCGCTGGATCCTCTCTATCTCGCGGCAGGAGAACACGGGGAGCGCGATGACACGCGGGCTCGATCACGATCGTCCGGTGATTAAGACTGAATCGAGACTGATCTACCGAATCAGACTCCGGGATGGATATCGGTCGAGAGGCAATAGGGGGAGAGATAGAGAGATACCACCGGGGCAGAGTCGCAGGGGGCGCGGGCAATAAGACCGAAAATAGCGAACGACATTTTCTCCATCCTCGTTCCCGCGTCGAAAAATCGAGGATCGTGTGACGCCAGGACAGGTAATATACGATCAGCTATTTGCCAAAATAGTCCCCCCCTCTGGCCGGTGTATCCGGATGCGCGGCCCGCCCCGCGGACCACGGACATACATCGGTTGCCAAACCGCGATTTTGCCCGTCCGATTATTAGCTCTCCCTCGTGTCGCGTTAATTGCAACTGGGCTACCAGAGACGGGAACGAGTTGTACAGGGTGGGCCGTTTCGACGTGAACGGCTGATTATCTTTGTCGTCTCGGTGGCTTCGGTAAACTTGGCCGAATGCTGCTTTAGGAAGCACTTGTGAATTTGTCGGAGTGATCGAAGGGACATGTAGGGTAATTTAATGAAGTCAGATGTATAAAGTGTTCAAGTTGGAGTGTAATTGAAGAATGTAAAGAATTAATGAAGACTTCTAGGTTATTTGAGTTTGACAGAATTTAGAACTGGGGTTGGTGAATTTTGTTGTGCGATCTGCTCTTAGTTAGGAAATATTTCTACTTGTAGTTAAAGTTTTCTTTCGTGAGATTTCAAGGTTGATTTGATTTCCTATAGTTTTGTAAAGAATGAGTTAGTAGAATCCGTAAGGAAGTAAGCGGTAAAAATTTCTGAAATGATTGGGGAACAGAAGAATTCTCATTATAATCTATACGATATGTTATCGAACCCTTTAGTTTAGCAACAATATTGATAATGATAGTATCACACTGATATTACGCAGCTTCCCTAAGTTTACGTTTCATTCCACGATATGATTTCGATTCCACGGCAAAAACGTTTCAAATAAGATTTAGAAAACAACATTTCCCGCCAACTCGATGCTTCCACGCGATTCGGCGGTTTACAAACACGGCTTAAACGCGTCGAAATCAATGAAACACCGTTTTATTAGCGGCAGCGTCTGAAACCTGAGAAACTTGGCTATTGAAATCGAACCGCGAGTATATGTTGAACTTGATTCCATTCGCAGTCGACGAGCATCGGCGAGAATCGACGGCGACCGCGATGTCGACGACGGGCTTGGGTATTTGCGTCTCCGCGCGCACGCGGCGCGGCGGGACCGTCTTCACTCGAGAAGGGAAAATATGGCTCACAGCGGCTGTTGCCAATCTGCTAGCAACGATTTCGTGTCACCGCACCGACGACCCTGACAAACCCGAGATCTCCCAGTTTTTGATTCATATTCGTGTCCCGATGAGACGCCCGCGAGGAGGACCTTGCAGCCACTCAGAGATATCTCTCGATCCTTCCTATTTTTACTTTTATCTTCTCTCGTAAACTCGGAAACATACGTGGCGTAGGATAATAATGGTCTGACTCCTATTTCTAAGTTCTCGGGAAAAGAAAGTTCTCGTGAAATGTTGTATTAATGAAACAGTAGTTATAATGTCACCGATAATATTAATTTCTATTAATTATTAATACCAATAATTGTAGCATTGGCGCTTAATTAATCCTAGAACATCTCACGAGAACGTTTCAAGAGAAATAGGATCTTTTACTTATAAATTCTGTCGATAACTTTTGACAAGTTCTTTTGGCTACCACGGTGATACTAGGTTGAGGTATAAATTCTGCTGTTTGTTTCTATTGTAAACAATCTATTAGTCATTCGATCTTAATACAAGTGACAGAGATTTATATAGGTTACTTGAAACGGTTGTTTGTAATGTCATGTATTGCAATCATAATTAAGATATTTACACGTCAAAACGATTAATTGTTTGAATGGTTTCAAATTTTCAATGCTGGAACACTTGATATTGATTTTTTATGTGTGCAATCTGATCAGATTTGTCTGCCTGTCATGTTCTGCAGTCAGTCACTTTGACGAGTGAATACTCCAATTACTTGTATAGTTTGATTTGTCGTTCTTTGGCAGATTTTACGTAAAGAATTGTAATTGAGGAAGCAGAAATTGGTTTAATAAATTTGACTTTTGGAATAGTAGATTTTAATGTGTTAGAACTTATGCAACAACCTGATATTTTATCATATCACGATCACGTCCGCGTTCTCAATCATCTCCCGACGCTTACGAAATTTTGACGAGCCACGATCGAACCGCTTTTGGCCGACGGATTGCAAAATTCTTACGGTCTCTCAAGTGCCGCGGCTTGGACGGCGGCTTGGCAAAATCGTTTTAATTTTATTATTAATAACGGAAAATCAGACTCACCTTAGAATCGAACTTCTGCCAGTCCGCGTGAAAAGAAAACATCATTAGTAACGGTGAACACTCTGACGTTTCAACTTAAAAGCAGACTGCGGATCTTGCAATACTTATTCGATGAACTCCCGTTTCATTCGATATCAAAGTTAATTCTCTAGAATAACTAACGGGGAGAAGATTTAAAAACAAATGGGAAAACTAAAAGTTTTATCTAGAATTCTAATATTTTTAATCTAATTTCGATCTTCTTTTGCAAGCTCTACTAATTTCCTTTAACCACACAACGCTACCACATTTGAACCAAATCGCAAAAAATAATTAGATACACGTTTCTGAGAGAAAGGTTCGTAAATAGAAACAACAAATTGAATATATCATAGCAGAAGCTTTAATTTTAGTGCTTCTATTACATTGTCTCTTCGAATTTTGAGTTAGCTCTGGGAACCGAGATTTTAGAGGACCATGTTAAACAAATGACAATTATTTAAGGATCATTTATCCATAGATTTATAAACCTTTTTCTCAGAAACATTGTCATTTATTATCTACCAGAAATTTCTGTCTGATAATGTCATTTCAACTTTCTAAAGATTCCAGAAATGAAATTAATATATTAATATATTATTATTATGAAATGAAATTAATATATTATTATTTCGATGCGACTGGATACACAAAATCTTTGAGAAACGCTTTATGATTAAAAATAAACTTGAAAGTTTACTTCTGCAAATGTATTATTTACATGTTATTTTTCAATTCGAAAAACAGATAGAACTTTCTGGTAATATCCCATTAAAAAATCATATTTATGCAAACATCCGCAGTCTAGAAGTAAAAGGTGCATGGAGAAAAATGCTCGTTGGTTACCTGAGTAGCGGGTCTATCGAGTTTGGTCTTGTCACGTGGCACGTGTTCGCCGAAATCGAATTCCTGAGGCTTCTCCAGCACCGGCCTCTCATAATCCGGAATCTCTGGTAGCTCGTAGCTGCTCTCCTTCCCCTTTTGAGCCGTTTTCTTCTTAATTTCAGTCTTCTCGGCCTTCTCGGTTTTCTATGTTCGCATCAAACATCGAAATTAATAGACGAGGAACGATTCGCGGCGAACGTTTCCGAGTGTTAAAGTCGAAGCCGTAATTAAGAGAACATTGACGATGATAGAGGAGAAGAGACAATTCGATAAGCGAGTCACTTTCGTCGGTATTTCGCCGTCGTGACAGTAGATTCTCCGCCGTGTAGAGATGGATTATGGGTCATCGCAACCCTTGATTAGTCGAGACACGAAGCTGCAGCCTCGAGAAGTAGCGGCGATTGGAAATGAGACCTGTTATTTTGCTGTTCCATTTTTCTCGCGGTTTAACCCTTAGAGTAGCTTGTTCGAAAATTATAATCAGAGTGGCTGGAATTAGATTGTTCTGTCTCGTGTGGTTGATAATTTAATATCCGGTACTTGTGGCATTTGTGATTGAATAATTAAGTTAATATTATAGTTGAAATACATAAAATGCAATCCATATTTGTGTGTACTCTAAGGGTTAAGCGTTGCAAGACTGAAAGATTGAGAAATTGGAAGATTGAAAGAAATTAGGATCAGAAGAGAGAAACGACAGAACGTGTCATTCAGTTATCGACGACATCGAGAAGAGACATCAAGCGTAAGAAGTATTCGAAATGAGAAAGTAGAGAGAACAGTGATAAAGAATTGATAGTTTTATATATTAATTATAGGAAAGAGAAGGAAGTTTCAATTGCGAGTAGAAAATTATTATAGAACACAGATAATTCTTTCGTAGATAGATAAAGTAGAGGATTAGAAGAAAGATACATCTTTTATAAACAGATGAAGTAGAGAATTAGAAGAAAGGTAAATCTTTTAGAAACAGATAAAGTAGAAAATTAGAAGAAAGGTAAATCTTTTAGAAACAGGTAAAATAGAGAATTAGAAGAAAGATAAATCTTTTAGAAACAGATAAAGTAGAGAATTAGAAGAAAGATAATTCTTTTGTAGACAGATGAAGTAGAGAATTAGAAGAAAGATACATCTTTTATAAACAGATGAAGTAGAGAATTAGA